ACACACACACACACACACACCACACATGTTAAATAGGCAAAGAGTAAACATACAATTCACAGAAAAGTAATCCAAATGACCAATGAATATAACCTTGCTAGTAATAATAAAAATGCAATTTAAAACAATAAGGTCTCTTTTTATTTTTTTAACCATTATGTTGCCTAAGATTTAAATGTTTGAAAATATCAAATATTGGCAAGTGTGTGGTAAATGCATATAATCATGAATTGCTGATAGAACTACAAATCAGTATAAACAATTTTGTAGTCTCTAATAAAATTTTAAATGCACATATCATATAACCTAACAGTTCTACTTTTTAGTATTTATCCTAGACATATATAAACAAACACTTTCACAGGTAAATATTGCCATGATGCTCACCATAGCACTGTTTGTAAAGTGAAGAATTGGAGTCTAAATAATCATTACCATGGCAATAATTAAGTGAGCTATGGTATAACTACACAATGAAAGGATTACACTATGCAGTACTTAAAAAAAAGGGAGGCTCTCTATACATTGGTAAATGAAGAAAACAAGGAAGTTGCTGAACAATACCTACAACAGGATACTATCATAAAAAAAAAAAAAAACAGAACTAATTGCATTAAAAAAAAAAGGCCGGGAAAAAGTACACATCATGTTAATAATAGTGATGACATCTGGGGATGTAGAATTAGGACCACTAGTCAAATGGTGCACTTTGACATATTTGTATAATTTGGATTTTACCTTAAGAACACAGTAATATGCTCCTTATACTATTAAAAATAATCATTAAAAAAAAGTTTTATATGTATGTGGTTTAAAAAGTTAAACTCGGGCCAACCGTGTGGCTCACTCGGGAGAGTGAGGCGCTGGGGGCGCCAAGGCCGCGGGTTTGGATCCTACATGGGGATGGCCGGTGTGCTCACTGGCTGAGCACAGTGCGGGCGACACCAAGCCAAGGGTTGTGATCCCCTTACCGGTCACAAAAAAAAAAAAGTCAAACTCAACAAAATAGTAATAAAATGAAAAGTAAAATATTTGCTTTTCCCTATCCTAATCCACAGTACTATTTCCCAGGAAAAACCACCTCAAAATGTTGTATGTATATGTAGGCATATATATAATATGTACTTTCTAGTTTTCTATAATAAGAATTGCATAATTGTTTGAGAAATTAATGTTTACAAAGGATTCTGTATGCTTTTAGACATGTACATGAACATACATAGCCATACTAATATGTAGCCTTTCTAATACTAATTACATTGGAGAAACTAAATTTCTCATGTTCAGGCACCATATAAAATGATATCTCTCACCTCCTGCTGATCTTCTTGATTACAACCCAACAAGACATACACTAGAATATGTGGAAGAAGATAGATGGTCACCTTGAAATCATGCTTCATCATAATGTTACAGCAGGTGAAGATTTTACTGGCAAGATCATGCCGAACCTGTAAATTCAAATGGTTTAGGAAGAAAAAGTAGTTTTATACATTTTATTCTATTCACTGAATGTCAAAAAGTTAACATATGAGATAACTTATTATGGCAGAGTTGGTATTCTCTTATGGACAGAGGCATGTACATTCAAGCAAGGAGGATTTCAGATCACCACCTCTCTGGTCAAGTTAAATATCCCCAAGTGCGTGAACTACTGAGACCCTTACAACAAGGTAGACTGACCTGGGCTGCCAACTACCTCTGCAGTCTCCCCATCTTTATGGTTCATTTTTCAATGTTTCATGTTTTGTTACAGATTAATTTTCCTAATTATAGTATATTTTCCTTAGCTAACATTAAATTTAGTGTATTAATTCCCTGAGCCTACAGACGAGTGAAGTATGCTCTGGGCCAGCACATTAAGTATGAGATTCACATTTTAAATAAGTAGTAAACAATTATGATCTACTATAGGAAGAAAGTTAAAAAAAGAAAATTAAATTACTTGGGTATACATATTTCAAAACAGCATGTTGTATACCATAAATATATACAAGTTCTATTTGTCAATTTAAAAAAATTAAATTACTTGGGGTTAAAGTTAAATTTTATTGGTATGACCTAACCTTCACTTTATGAACATTACTGAACTCTTTTAAAGGATTTTTTTTCCTTCAAGTATAAAAACTTCACTTAAAACAAAATAAAAAAACTAAATTAAAGATTCTGGAACTGGAGGTAACAGTATTTTACATTTCACATGTTACATTTTCAATGTGTTCATAAAAAAATTAGAGAAAATCTCTTGAAATGACGAGGTACAAATTATTATAATGCAAATTATTATAATGATATTTTCAAACACTAATAAACAGAAATGTGAATTAAAAACAAAAGTTGTGAATTTTAAATACGTCTTCAACATTTTCTTAGAACATGGAGCACCTTTTCATTTGTTAGACATAAAAACATTTCACATTAGGGAAACATAAGAATCACACCTCTGTTTTTCCACGAAATTTCATTTTAGAATATCTTTATTTATATTTTGGACAAAGTTCAGATGATGTACGTTCTTTTAGAAGTGCCACTAAAGGATAATATATCTTTATATTACATAAAAAGATCTTTTTGTTATGTGAAACACTCTGAAATAGCATATATCTTTTTATTAAACAGTATTATAATGTGAAATCTACAGAAATAATGTAATAGACATTTAAAAAACACATTAAGATCATGGTTATTTAATTGATAAAACACAATTACCTCTTCACCCACAAACTATTATTAGTAACAATAGAAAAATCGCTACTCTATATTTTCTATTTACTTTTTCTGAGGGGGCAGCTGGCCGGTATGGGGAGCCAAACCCATGACCTTGGTGTTATAAGGCTATGCTCTAAACAACTGAGCTAACAAGCCAGTCTGTTATTCTCTATTAGTATACATTTTCTCCAAAAAATTTCTATCATCATCAGTACAAACATTTCAATGCCTATTATGTGTGCTATACATTCAGATAGATATTCTGGTTTCTTTTAGAACTTCTGTTCAATTAACAAATTCTGAACAGAGTCTCTTACCTTTGTTATAAGATACCCTGCCCAAGATGCTGACCATTCTGCAAAGTTATTTCCTAATTTACTTAGGTAAATTGGCTTCTTTACTCCAGACCAATCTGTTGACTTCTGAGAACTCTTATATCTGTAATTTTGAAAATTTATTTATTAAAAAATATATAAACATATATCCATCTGTTTAGAACTTTAGTAAAAAAAGTGTAAGAAATGATATCAACTCCTTCACTAAGTACTCCAGTATTGCCTTGCCTTTACTGAAATGTGGACAAAGACACTGCTTTTCCAGTATCCTTCTTAAGGATGGGGTAGGTGGTCATTCTTGCACACCCCAAGTATTTCTAAGGGTTTCAATCTGCCTTCTCCTCTTCCTCAGATCCTTCTAACTACATTCTAGTGTAAGAAAGACCTGTTCCCTTGAAGTTCAAGCCACCCAGGTATACCATTCTCTATTCGTCCTCATTACAGGCATCTACCAAACTTGTTGATTACCAAACTCATTGATAACTTTAGCATATTGCTCAGTTTTCTTTCTTTCCCAACCCAAGTTTTATTATCAATCCTGCGTGACTTTAATGTCTGGCTGGACCACTTAAACTCAAAACTTCTCAATGACTTCCTCCTCCACTCAATTATTACAACTCCCTTTCTAAAACAAATAATTTTTTTGCTTCCAAAATCAACTATGTAGACACCTCATTCTATGGGCAGTTTCCTAAATTTCTAGTTCTTTTACCCAGTTATTCCAACACATTTGCTCTCTCTCATTGAGATCTTCTGTCCCCTGACACTTCTAAACTCTCCAGATTGATGATACCCTCTTTTCTTTACTTCTTTTTCTAACCAGCTTAGACTCTATGATCCTTCACTTCTAGCATTCTCTTGGTAATATCTTTTACCTACTCCATTGTCATGCTGCCTTCGCCACCTGTACCCATCTGCCAACCTCCCAACATTGGATCAATCTAAATGTCTGCCTTTACTGAAATGATATGCAGGCCACTACATTGATAGAGGAAAATCACTAACCTGCTTATGAGATTAGTACAAATATATATTCTTAGTCTTCAACGAAAGTGGACCTTTATGTTGCCCAGAAATCCTTCTAAGTTTTCCTTATTAGCTTCTCCTCTGTTTTCCACAGTGGCTATTTCAAATCATCACCACTCTCCTTAAATCACCTAAACCAACTCCATTGCCACTTTCAGCCAATGATCTCATGTTCTATACCTCCTACCTCATGGCGAAAAAAAGAAACCATTGCTTCCCATAATCAAACCTGTAAATTTAGCTAGGCTCCATCCATCGTTTTATTATTACCATTATTACTTATTATTGTTATTATTTTTTGCTGCTGGCCAGTATAGGAATTGAACCCTGGACCTTGGTGTTATCAGCATCACTCCCTAACCAACCGAGCAATCCAGCCAGTTCTAACCATTATTTTATCTTTCCACATGACAAAGAAAGAAATCTCATTCCCCCTAGGTTTAATTCCCCATCAACCAGTATAGGAATTGAACCCTGGACCTTGGTGTTATCAGCATCACTCCCTAACCAACCGAGCAATCCAGCCAGTTCTAACCATCATTTTATCTTTCCACATGACAAAGAAAGAAATCTCATTCCCCCTAGGTTTAATTCCCCATCAGGGCCATGGCATTCCCATTCTGGATGCTCCTCAGGGTCTGTATTATATTAATTATCACTTCTCTCTTCCATTACTTCAACAGGACCCTTTCCATTTGGTCTTCAGCATTAACATTTCAATATGTTCAAATAGCTCTCATCTTACAACTATATGTGTAGAATTTTTTGAGGAGACTGGGCTCCTTTTCAGTCATCTATATAAGGTTAGGAAACAACAAATATAATAAATGCCTTATACTCAAGGTCTTCAGCAAACATTATAGATTTCACTGTATTCCAAGTTTCTAAAAGTTGAAAAATCCAATAATTTCTGTTAGCCATCACACTAAACCGGGGAAGACAATCCAAATCCCTATTTTGAATCATCACAAGTCTAATTCTCTAGATAATTTTATCACGTTTTACAGTGAACTTAGCTAGAAAGCTACTGATATTGGGGTAAAAGCCAGTTTCTGCCTTGTCAGATCCTGCTCTTTTGTCCTGAAGTGACTTCTATGGCAATTTTGAACTAGTTGATCAATCTGGTTTTAAAAATTAAATCTCCCAAATATAGTCATCATTTAATTCAGGTTTAGTGGTTGCAAATAAATAGCTCAATTGAAAAAAAAATTAAAAGGAGAACATATGGTAGATAAATCTCCTAACTCTCACCACTGAGGACTCATCTGAAAGGTTTCTCTAAACTCTCAGATCTAAAAGTAGATCATAAGAATGCTTTGCTTTGCTAAGATCACTCTTATAAATGACCACTTAAAAGTTGCTTCTTATGAAAGAATAACAAGACATAAGTCTATGTGACTCCAAAGGCCATTAACTTTCTGGTAGAACACAGAAATTCTTAAGCATCTTTATGTGCTATATAAAATTTATAATAAAGAAATGGGGGAAGTGTGGAGTCCTCAAAAATGAAAAACAAAATTTTAAACTTTAGACTTTTACTTTATATTAATAAATCATATATTTAATAATGCTGGTTGTGAGAAATAAAATGATGTTTGAAAGATTTCTAACTGTAAAAAATTATCTAGCAAATAAATATGCACACCTCTAGGGCTTTTATAAGGAATTTTACTACATGTCTAGGCACTTTGCTAAGGCTCAAAGAGTAATTCATCTGAGATCATGTATCTAATAAGCTTGTGACCTAGATCAACTAAAATAATAGATTCCAACTAAAATAATTTAGTCTTTTATAAATTTTACTCAGTCCTGACAAAGTTACTTAAATTGAAGAAAAGATTAGAAAATAGTTTTTTAAAAAACAAAAGCAGAGGGCCGGCCCGTGGCTCACTCGGGTGAGTGTGGTTCTGATAACGCCAAGGCCATGGGTTCGGATCCCATATAGGGATGGCTGGTTGGCTCACTGGGTAAGCGTGGTGCTGACAACACCAAGTCAAGGGTTAAGATCCCCTTACCAGTCATCTTTAAAAACAAAAACAAAAGCAGAGCCGGCCCGTGGCTCACTCGGGTGAGTGTGGTTCTGATAACGCCAAGGCCATGGGTTCGGATCCCATATAGGGATGGCTGGTTGGCTCACTGGTGAGCGTGGTGCTGACAACACCAAGTCAAGGGTTAAGATCCCCTTACCAGTCATCTTTAAAAACAAAAACAAAAGCAGAAAACATATTTATGAGGAGAAATTGGTAGAAATGAAAATCGCTCATTGGAATTACTAAAGACTTTGGTAGCAGCTTTAAACTCTTAAATTTCTATATTAATTACAACTATCAAAAGTTTCAACTCATATTCAACTTAAAGTCGATTCTTTCAGAGTACAGGTGACAGGTGAATTTTTTAAAAAAATCAACTCTTTAACTTCAATGAATTTATCTAAATACTTAAAATTATAGATTTTAACCCAATGAGCAGATTGTACTTCTAATTTTGACAAGATTATAAACATAAATCATGGTGGAAATACTTATAAGAACATACTAAAAATACTTTTAATGTTAAAAAACATCAAAAATAGCATTAATTTCTATAAAGTTAAATCAATTTTATGAAAATAGTTTAAGTGAGTCTACATACATACCTAGTATTTAGATGAGGTTCTAGTATTTCCCGAACATGCTCAGGAAATCTCCTCCACAATTGGTGACCTGGGCCATCAGTCTGCATCTCTCTACAGTCATAAATGGAAAGTAACTCCTACAAATAAATATTTTACATTTGTAAGTCCACAGTGAAACAGACAAACCTTTATATTCATCAATGTTCTACATATTATAGTTACTCAAATACACAGAAAAACAATTTTAAATTTTTGTAGCTGTGAACTTCCTTAGGACATTTATTTTAATTCCTAGAACCATTTAGGTAACTTAGCTAAGGTTGCAAAACTTGGCACTACTTGAATGTGAAGCCAGCTTGTGTTCTATGTATAATATGCATTGAAATATAAGATTAGGAGCTATTTGGAGGAAAAAAATAGAATTTTCTTTATTTGTAGAAGTATAATCCTTAGAATTTGATCTTTTCTTAATTATATTGAAAGCAACAATAAAACCAAAACAGTACAAAAACTCAAAACATCTCAAATTCTAGATATAAGATACCAAGCTTAAAATTGCATCTGAAAATAGGATGTAAGTGTTAAATCCAATTTACTTACCATTCAAGCCCAGAGATTAAATGGTATATTATATTTTCCTTAAAATAAAACAAGTGGAATTCTATAGAGGAAGAAAAAAAATCTTTGTCTCCAATATTAATCTTCAAAATGGGACAGATATGTTAGGGTATTATATTTTCTATCAACGATTACTCTTTATTTCTTATTCTACTGAAAATGAGCATATGCAATAGATGCTTTCCTAATATTTATAAACATAAGCACCATCTGGAAAAATCTGTACTTTATACTTATACTTAGTCTTTTTTAATAAAAGTAAGCAAGTATATAAAAAGTTTAAATAAGGAAATATCCAAACTCCACTTTCATTTAACTTTAAAATGTTATTAAAATTGTGTTTGAAGCCAGCTTTTTTCCCATGTTTGGAAAAGTCACTCTAACAGAAGCCTTCTTTACCTCTAATAACAAACTTACTAATCAGCGATTCTCTTTTTGATTTCAGAATCATTTACACGCTTAAAAATACTAATACTCTTATAGTTGTAGGTCTTGCTTCATATTTCACTGAGAAAACAGAAACAATCAGAAGAGACCTCTACAACTTCAACCCTCATATCCATCCAAACCTGGCAATATCAATTATCAGTGCCCATATGATCTGCTTTCTCTCCTTTTCCTATACAGTTATCCTTGTTTTTAATTAAGTCTACCCTTTCTATTTGTACACTATATTCCACATCTCTTTGCCTATTTAAAATATTAATACATCAATTTACTCCTACATCATCACTTTTCTCCTCTCTGATGAACTGTTTCCAAGAAACACAGAAACATACTGTTATTTTTCCCATCTTTACCCTTGATTTCTCCCCAGCTACTATCCCATTCTTGTGCTCTCCTTGATAGCAGTGCTCCTCAAAAAAATTTCTGTAATTTCTCTAATTCCTCTCTTCATGCATGTTCTTAAAAAGATTCTAATAAAGTTTTAAATACTCCACTGAAACTGTTCTTGTGAAGGTTCCCCATGACCTCTGTGTTACTATATAGCCAATAAGTCAATACTTAATCCTTAGATTATTATACTTAAATCAGCATTTATTACAGTAGATCACTCCATATTTCTTGAAACATTTTCTTGTTTTCTAGAACACCACAGTCTCCTACCTTCCTTACTGGTAGCTCCTTCTCCGTCGTCTCAGTTGTTCCCCCCCTCCTCTTCTCACTGACCTCTTATTGTCCAGGGCTCAATTACTAGAACTTTTTTTACCTATACTTCCTCCTTTGGTCATCTCATCTAGACTCACAGTTTGAAATACCATCTCTACAATGAAAACCTCCAAATTAATATCCATAACTCAGACCTTTCATCATGAATTCCAGACCTCAATATCTAACAAAACACAAAAACTTTCAATGGAAAAAATAACACAAAAAGGGGCAAAGAAAGTCAAACTAAAAATATACTTAAATTAATATCCATAACTCAGACCTTTCATCATGAATTCCAGACCTCAATATCTAACAAAACACAAAACTTTCAATGGAAAAAATAACACAAAAAGGGGCAAAGAAAGTCAAACTAAAAATATACTTATGACACGTATGATAGACAGAAAGTTAATTTCCATTATATCCGAATAGGTCTTAAATATAAATAAAAAATACACCAACAGCAAGAGAAAAATGGGAAAAGATCATCTAGAACAAACTCACAAAGAGCAATAAATACATAAAGGACGTTACAACATTCTCATAATAAAACAAATGCAAAT